TCTGCTCAGGAAGAGCCCCCAAACAGGAGGTTCTGAGAGGGTCTGCTTTCAAATTTGCTCTGTCATGGCACACAGCAAGCAAACCTTAACCTGGCTACTGTGCTCTCACAAGAGACCCAGTCCCTTCCCTCCATGGAGGGACCTAGACTCTGGTCTTCGGGAGCCCAGAGTGGGGGGCCCCCAATCAGACTGGGGTGGATAGATGGGACAAGGACATCCCCCAGAGCAGGTGCCAATAGACCGGGGTGTTGAAAGGCAGATGAGAGGTAACCAAGAAAAAGGGTAGGAAAGATGTTCCTGGCAGAGGGAACAGCGAATGTAAAGGCCTGGAGGCAGGAGCATGTTTGCTGTGTTCAGGGACCAGCAAGAACAGGAGATGAGACAAAGGATGAGTGGGAGAGGAAGGAGGAAAGTTATGCCAAGCGTGTGAGCTGCTCACGGGCAGGGGCCATGTCTCAGGGACTCTCAATGTTGCTGTCACCTTGGTGCGCTGTACAGTGCGGAATGCAGGGAGTGATGGTGCATCCTGGGAGGGTAAGAGAAGGGGAGGCACAAGGGATCTGGGGGTGATGAACAGGTTTTCTGGGGCTTGGTGAGGCCCTGTCTGCCCTGATTTGCAGCAGGAAGGATATGGTAATAGGGTTCCCTGTCCCCAGAACCATGCCTTCCATGGTGATACACTGCCCATGGCTTTGGCTTAGAAGGCTCAGGGCTCTAATCCCAAAGTCACTACATGGGTTACTCAGTACCGACAGTAACAATAATAGTGACAACATGGTGAGTGCCCCTGGGCACCCGGGATGGGGAGGGGGGCACTGCCTGGGCATTGGCACTGGGACCTTTTCTTCTCTTCCCAATTGCCCAAAGTGGTTTTTATAATCCTTCCTTCACGGTAGGAATGAGCCTGAGGCCTTAAGACCCCAAGTGACAGCCAGAAAGGGAAGGCGGGATTTGTACAAGGCTCTACTCTTTGTGCCACGTGTGGCCTCAGTTTCCACAGCTGTCAAATGGCAACAGCCACAGCTTGGCTGAGGCAAGGCAGCCATGAGGTGCTGAGGGGCATAGGGTCTGCCACAGAACTTGCTACTTCTCAGGGTCTCTTTTCCCCACTTTTTTTTTTTTTTTAAGATAGATTCTCACTCTGTCACCCCCAGGGTAAAGTGCCATAGTATCTTAGCTCACAGCAACCTCAAACTCAAGCGATCTTCTTGCCCCAGCCTCCCAAGTAGCTGGAACTACAGACACCCACCACCATGGGTAATTTTTCTGTTTTCAGTAGAAAAGGGGTCTTGCTCTTGCTCAGACTGGTCTTGAACTCCTGAATTCAAAGATCCTCCCACCTCAGCCTCCCAAAGTGTTAGGGTTACAGGTGTGAGCCACAGTACCTGGCTCATTCCCTCCTTTCTAAAATGGGGCAATGACAGTCCTTGCTCATAGGGCTAGTGGTGGACAAGACATGACTATGTTTATAAACATTGAGACCCTGTTCCTTAAAATCGGGCAGCCTGGCCATCGAAGCTGCCTAGTGCAGGACTAAGAGGTGGCAAACACACACTGGATTTCAAGGCCTCAGCAGGAAAAGAGTGTATATCAAACTCTTAAGATTTAATCTTGATTACATGTTGAAATGATAATGTTTTGGACATACTGGGTTAAGTAAATATGTTATTAAAATTGATTTTGCCTCTTTTGTTTACAATGGCTTCTAGGAAATGTTAAATTATACATGTGGTTCACATTAGGTTTCTATTGGACACCACTGGCATGGTATAAATTATAATTTTACGACTGTGCTTATGCCAAGAATATTACTGTTCCTTATCCTGGGTACCTCTCAGCTACATGTTTTTGCTTCATTTCTTCATTTTCTGTTTTGTTTTTTATGCCTGCTTATTATAAGAGTAATTTTTTCTTTTGCACTTTTTGGCCAGGGCCAGGTTTGAACCTGCACCTTCAGTATGTGGAGGCAGCGCCTTACTCCTTCAGCCACAGGTGCCGCCCTGTAATTTTTTTTTTTTTTTTGAGACAGTCTCACTATATCACCCTTGGTAGAGTGCCGTGGCATCACAGCTCACAGCAACCTCCAACTCTTGGGCTTAAGTGATTCTCTTGCCTCAGCTTTCCCAAGCAGCTGGGACTATAGGCGCCCACCACAATGCCCCGCTGTTTTTTGTTGCAGTTGTCATTGTTGTTTAGCTGGCCCAGGCCAAGTTCAAACCCACCACCCTCAGTATATGTTGCTGTCACCATAACCACTGTGCTACGGGTGCCAAGCCAAGGGTAATTTTTATTCATTGAGAAAAAAAAAAAAACATAAGAATAACAATTGCCCATAATCCACAACAGCTGGAGTTTACTACTAAGAACAGCTTGGAGTATTTCCTTCCAGTCTTTTTTCAGTACATAAATGCAGATACCTAATTCTCCAGCTTCATTTTTTTTTTTCTTTTTTTGAGACAGAATCTTACTCTGTGGCCTGGGCTAGAGTGCTGGGGCATCATCATAGCTCACAGCAACCTTAAACTCCTAGGCTTAAGTGATCCTGTTGCTGGGATCCAAGTAGCTGGGACTGACTATAGGCACCACCACAGTGCCCAGCTAGATTTTCTATTTTTAGTGGAGACAAGGTCTCACTCTTGCTTAGGCTGGTTTGGAACTCCTTAGTGCAAGTGATCCTCCCACCTCAGTCTCCCAGAGTGCTGGGATTACAGTTGTGAGCCACTGTGCTGTCCACTCTCCAGCTTTATTAGTTTCTTGAAATTGGGAGCACACAATAGATTGTTGGGGTTCTCTATCACCCCCTTAATGTTATGACACAGCATCCCCAAAACGCATCTCCTTGTCTATTCCTTTCCCCCCAGTGCATGTCATTAACTAGGCCTCAAGCACTGAATCTGATGCCTGAGCCCTCTGTGCCTAGGAGGCTCTTGGGAAATTCTGTCTCCCATTATCCTGGCCCAGGACTGCCTCTCCTGTGGTCCCCAGGCCCAGCCCTGTGAGATAAAGGAGTAAGAAGTCAAGACCTGGGACTAATCCCAAATCTATTCCCCCCGCCTTTCTTTTTTTTTTTTTTTAGACAGAGTCTGGGTAGAGTGCCATGGCGTCATCATACCTCACAGCAACCTCAAATTTCCAGGTTCAAGCAATCCTCATGCCTCAGCCTCCCCAGTAACTGGAACTATAGGCACCTGCCACAACACCCAGCTAGTTTTTCTATTTTTTAGTAGAGATGTGGTCTGCTCTTGCTCAGGCTGGTCTTAACCTCCTGAGCTCAAGTGATCTGCCTGCCTCAGCCTCCCCAGTGTGCTGGGATTACAGGTATGGGCCACCACACCTGGCCTACTTTCCCCTTCTGTGTGACCCTGCGCAAGTCACCCCACCTCTCTGTGCCTAATTCATAATCATTCACATGAAACCTTTGAGGCCATGTGTGTTTGGCCTTCTGATATTAGAAAGGTAATAATAAGTAGCATGTGCTTTATAACATCCTAGCATTCTTGTACCCTTTATCAAAACTGGGCATTTTTTGAGTAAAATGTTTGAATAGTCACGTGCATGGATTGATAAAAATCTTTAAATAGCTTCATATGAGTTCTGATCAGGTTTGGCCACCAAGTGGGATTTGTGCCAAAACTGAAAAATCTGGTTTCCAAGGCCTTATGAATTTTGGAATTGTGGCTATTAAATGACGACTTGTAATAGTACCTGCCTCCTAGGGCCGTTTGGAGGATTAAATGAGTTATTACCTATAAAACATTCAGAACGAGGTCTGGCACAAAGAAGTGTTCATTGCATGCTAGCTCCTGGCATTATTATTTTTTCCTCCTTTTTATTTTTTATGTCTATTTTTTCACTTTGAGAAATATGTGTATAACAAAATTCCCCCTTTTTCAGGGTAGAGTTTGGGGGCAGTTGCAGACAACTTTCTTTTTTTCTTTTTTTCTTTTTTTTTTCAGTTTTTGGCTGGGGCTGGGTTTGAACCCACCACCTCAGGTATATGGGGCCAGCACCCTACTTCTTTGAGCCACAGTTGCCACCCTGCAGAGAACATTTCTACCACCACAGTTGAGTTCTCTCATGCCCCTTCCCAGCCTGCCCCCCACACTCAGAGACTCCCACTTAGAACACAGGGTGTGGTGTGGACGGAATCCCGCTGCATGGCCCCCTCATGTCTGGCTTCTTGCGCTCAACATAATACCAAGATACTCATCCAGGGTGTGCATGGCAGTATTTGTTCCTTTTCAAGGTGAGCCATAGTGTCCCACCATCCATTCACTCATGACGGACATTTGAGTGGTTTCCAATTTAGGCTGGAATGAACAAAAAAACTGTGAACGCCCATGCATAAGCCATTGCACAAACATCTGCTTTCATTTCTCTTGAGGAAATACCCAGGAGTGAAACGGCCGGGTTATAGGGTGCCTCCAGTTTTAACTTTATAAAAAATTGCCAAGGCAAGTTATGGTGACTCGTGCCTGTAATCCCAGCACTGTGAAAGACCAAGGCAGGTAGGTTGCTTGGGGTCAGGAGTTCAAAACCAGCCCGAACAAGAGCAAGACCCCATCTCTATTAAACACAGAAAAAGTAGCCAGGTGTGGTGGCGAGCACCTGAAGTCCTAGCTATTTTGGAGGCTGAGGCAAGAGGATCCCTCTAGCCCAAGAGTTCATGATCAGCCTGAACAAGGACAAGACCCTGTCTCTACTAAAAATAGAAAAATTAGCCGGGGGCATGTGGCAAGAGGCATGAGGATTGCTTGAACTCAGGAGTCTGACATTCCTGTGAGCTATGATGCCATAGCACTCTACCCAGGGCAATAGAGTGAGACTATTCAAAAAAAGAAAGGTAAAGAAAAGAAACTGTCAAACTTTTTTCCAAAGTGGCACTTGCGTTTCCCACTCCCACCAGCAGAGCAGGAGAGACCGGCACCCTGGTTACTGTCCTTGGTCTCAGCATCACTGACCCTTGTCTCCCATCCCCGCCCTCCCCCACTACCCCGCAGGTGATCCGGACAGACACCTTCAAGCATCTGCGGCACCTGGAGATCCTACAACTGAGCAAGAACCTGGTGCGCAAGATCGAGGTGGGCGCCTTCAACGGGCTGCCCAGTCTCAACACGCTGGAACTGTTCGACAACCGGCTGACTACGGTGCCCACGCAGGCCTTCGAGTACCTGTCCAAGCTGCGGGAGCTCTGGCTGCGCAACAACCCTATCGAGAGCATCCCCTCCTACGCCTTCAACCGAGTCCCCTCGCTGCGGCGGCTGGACCTGGGGGAACTCAAGCGGCTGGAATACATCTCGGAGGCGGCCTTCGAGGGGCTGGTCAACCTGCGCTACCTCAACCTGGGCATGTGCAACCTCAAGGACATCCCCAACCTGACAGCCCTGGTGCGCCTGGAGGAGCTAGAGCTGTCGGGCAACCGGCTGGACCTGATCCGCCCGGGCTCCTTCCAGGGCCTCACCAGCCTGCGCAAGCTGTGGCTCATGCACGCCCAGGTGGCCACCATCGAGCGCAATGCCTTTGATGACCTCAAGTCACTGGAGGAGCTCAACCTGTCCCACAACAATCTGATGTCGCTGCCCCACGACCTCTTCACACCCCTGCACCGCCTGGAGCGCGTCCACCTCAACCATAACCCCTGGCACTGCAACTGCGACGTGCTCTGGCTGAGCTGGTGGCTCAAGGAGACCGTGCCCAGCAACACAACATGCTGTGCCCGCTGCCACGCGCCTGCCGGTCTCAAGGGCCGCTACATAGGCGAACTGGACCAGTCGCACTTCACTTGCTATGCGCCTGTCATTGTGGAGCCGCCCACGGACCTCAATGTCACGGAAGGCATGGCTGCTGAGCTCAAGTGCCGCACAGGCACCTCCATGACTTCTGTCAACTGGCTGACACCCAACGGCACCCTCATGACCCACGGCTCCTACCGTGTGCGCATCTCTGTCCTGCATGATGGCACGCTCAACTTCACCAATGTCACCGTGCAGGACACGGGCCAATACACGTGCATGGTGACGAACTCGGCTGGCAACACCACCGCCTCAGCAACACTCAACGTCTCAGCTGTGGACCCTGTGGCGGCTGGGGGCTCCGGTGGCGGCGGGGGCGGCCCAGGGAGCGGCAGTGGTGTCGGAGGGGGCAGTGGTGGCTACACCTACTTCACCACGGTGACAGTGGAGACCCTGGAGACACAGCCTGGGGAGGAGGCCGTGCAGCCGCGGGGCACAGAGAAGGTACCGCCGGGGCCCACGACGGATGGTGTCTGGGGTGGGGGCCGGCCCGGGGACGCTGCGGGCCCGGCCTCTTCATCCACCACAGCACCTGCACCTCGCTCCTCACGGCCCACAGAGAAGGCGTTCACGGTGCCCATCACGGACGTGACAGAAAACGCCCTCAAGGACCTGGACGACGTCATGAAGACCACCAAGATCATCATCGGCTGCTTTGTGGCCATCACATTCATGGCCGCCGTGATGCTGGTGGCCTTCTACAAGCTGCGCAAGCAGCACCAGCTCCACAAGCACCACGGGCCCACGCGCACTGTGGAGATCATCAACGTGGAGGACGAGCTGCCCGCTGCCTCCGCCGTGTCCGTGGCTGCGGCGGCTGCCGTGGCCGGTGGGGGCAGCGTAGGTGGGGACAGCCACCTGGCCCTGCCTGCCCTGGAGCGCGACCACCTCAACCACCACCACTACGTGGCGGCCGCCTTCAAGGCACACTACAGCAGCAACCCCGGCGGTGGGGGCTGCGGGGGCAAGGGCCCTCCTGGCCTCAACTCCATCCACGAACCTCTGCTCTTCAAGAGCGGCTCCAAGGAAAATGTGCAAGAGACGCAGATCTGAGGCCGCCGGAGGCCCCGGGGATCTGGCCAGGGTCTTGGAGACCCGCCACCCCGTTGCCTACCCGGGCACACCGACTGGGACCCCTCCCCACGGCCCAGCCCACCCCGGGACCAAATGGGAAAAGCGGGGCAAGGCGATGTCCAGCCCCACCCAGGGGTCAGAGCCCAGTGAGGACAGGGCGGGGTTCCAGGAGTGAAGTGTCCCTGGTTCTAGCCTCGCCCCCACCTATCCTGGTGACGGCTGTGGGGACTCGGGATTCAGAAGTGGCCCCAGCCCTCCGTGTTTCCTACTGGCTCTCCCAACCAACTGTCCTGCCCGCCACCTTCGAGGGGAGAGAGGAGCTTTTTTGAGGGGTACCCTTTCCCCTTACCCCAACCACCCTCCTTTTACGGTTCATTTTTTGCAGTTTGACGCCTGTCCCTCCTTCCCACTCCGAAACCGAAGAGACGAAGAGACACGTCTCCCTGAGCTCCAGCCCACGCTGAGCTCCGCCCCCGGCCCCCCGCTGGGGTAGGCAGCCCGGCCGCCCCGCCCCCACCGCCCCACAGACTCTTTTGATACAACCGAAGGGAGGTTTGCGTCAACGACTACCTGCTCTGTAATTACTTTAAAAAAAAAAAAAAAACACGGAAAAAGTAAAAAAAAAAATATTTTTTTGGTCATGAAAGCATGGCGGAAAGAAAACAGTGAATACGGGTGGGAAGCAGAAGGAGAGGCTGGAAGACAGGCCCTCACAGGCCCCATCGAAAGGAGGGGCATCTCTGGGGCGGTCTTAGCTCCTAGGGAGGGGTCTGTCCTGGGACTACCCCCATATGAGTTCCCTGTATTCATTCCTTGGGGAGGGGAAGGGGTGCTCAGAACAGCAGAGATCTGGGTCTGACTATTCTGGAGGCCTCAAGTCCAAGTTCAAAGTGCAGCAGGGCCATGCCCTCTCTGAAGCCAGCTACTGGCACCTGGGTGGCCCTGGCTTGTGGCTTCACCCTGGCCTTCCCTGGACTTTCTCCCTGTGTCTTTACACCTCTTCCCTCTGTGCGTGTCCATCTGTGTCCAACTTCCCCCGTCACAGGGACCCTAATCACTATACTGGATCAAGAGCACCTGGCATAACCTCAACTTGATTTTCGGCAAATGCCCATCTGAGGTGCTGGAGGCCAGGACTTCTGTGGATCTGTTTCTGGGTATCACAGTTCAACCCCAAACAGGCCCCAAACCATAGAGTGTCTCCACTGCCCTCCCACTCGAGGCTCCTCTGATGTAGAGCCTCTGTCCCTGTCTTTGCACGGAGCTGCAGCAGCCCTGTGCAAAGACAAGGACAGAGAGAACCTCAGTAGGAGAGCAGTCAGGAGCCAGCAAGCTGGCTGGAGGATATGTCTCTGTGCATTGAGGTGCCTGGGCCAGTGCGGGCTGCCATCCTGCACTGACTGGGAAGGCAAGGCCTCTGGACACACATGAAGTGGTTATAGCACCTTCCTGTGCTGAGGAGAGGGCACCAGGCAGACAGCCCTGACGACTTGTGGGGCCTGGGGGTGGGGGGGGCAGGGTTGGAGGCCAGTCTCAGTGCCCCTTCTCCCTTGTGTACATGGCAGCTGTAGGCACTGTGGGGACACTCAGGCCCCAGAGGAGTCGACAACAGACAGAAAGAAGGGGACAGAAAGTCCCTGCTCCCACCCTATGTGCCCCATGAGTGTCTGGACAGGAGTCCCTATGCCTCTCAGCATTTCCTCTGTCCTCCACTCAGGTTCCTGGCTCTTGAAGCAAATTCCTCCCTTACCAGCAGTGGCAGCCTCCGGTGGCCTCTGGGTGACGTGTCTGGGATCTGGCCCTCTCTATCTTTGTCCATCCCCTCTCACGCGGTGCCCACCCTCCTCATGCTCCCTTTCATGCTCTTTCTCTCCAGTCTCTTGCAGTGCCGATCCTGGTTGCCATGGTAACACTGCAGCGGGTACCAGGTGGTGGCTGGGGGCAGGGAACTGGCGCTGCGGCAGCCTTCGCCATTTCCGATGCCAGGCACCTGCGAGGCACAGTGGCTGAGACTCATTCTGGGGGCACTCGGACTCCCCAGGCCTCACAGGCTACTCTATGGCTGATGCAAGTTGGGGAGAGGGAAGGAAGGACATGAGAGTGACAATACCACATGTGGGAGGGGGTAATGGCATCATGGCTGAGGGGGAGAACGAGAGGTGGAAAGTCAAGGTGAACTGAAGGATGATCAGAGACAGAGGGTGGCAGGTTCGGGTTGAGAGCTGAAGGATGTGAGAAGGGGACCCCCCCTCCCGGGGAAGCTGGAGGGATTTGATCCGCTGAGGCAAGGGCACAGCTAAGACAATCTAGAACTCCAGCTTCTGTTGCCTTCTGGGAGAGACGGGGTGGGGTGGGAGCTCAGGGGGCTCATGACCAGACAGAGCTTCCTTCAGACCTTGACCATTTGAGGACAAAAATGGGGGGCAGAGAGGACCTGGGAGCAAGGGGACAGACAGAGCTCAGAGTCCCTGCCACCATCCCCTCTTCCCACCCCAAGCAGGATGTAGTTTCTATGACAACCTGGCTGGCCAGAAAGGGGGGCAGGGGACTGCAGAGGAAATTTTCCACATCAGCAGGAAGGAACAGAGGTGTGTCACAAACGAAGGAATAGCCCTGAGGAAAGCAGGGGCCGGAGGAGGGGATACTGGATCCCTGGAACCCCAGATCACTATGTTTGCTGCCACCCCCACCCCCAGTGAAAGTGGAAGGAATCGGAATGCAGAGAAGGATTTTCAGCCACCTTCATCCCTACAACTCCATTCCCCTACCTCTAGGCCACGGTGGGAAGGGGGAGGTTGAGCTGAAAGGCTCAAGGGTCAAATGTCCAAAGATCAGTGGCTGCCCAGGCTTTGTGCAGAGGGCAGCAAGCAGCTGAGGGAGCTCAGGCCACAGACACCAGACTCAGAGGCATGGCCCTCGACAGAGTCCCACGGAGGGTGGGGGTGGTAGGTTACGGCCGCCTCGGTGAGTCCCTGGCCTCCTTCCCCAAACCCCTCTGCCCTCCACAAACACAACTTTCATCTATCTTTATCTGTGCCCCTGGTTGTGTCTCTGGATCTGCCCACCAGACTATCTTCTACCCCCAACCCCAGGTCTCTGTCCCTCTCTCTCTGGTCTGTGTCCCCTTCTCTCTCTGGGTCTATGTGCCCCCCACCCTGGTCTGTGCCTTCTCATCTCTGGGTATCTGGTCCTCTCCTTTCCCTCCCCCCAGGACAGTCCCTCGTCTCCCATCTGCTAGCTCAGGGGCCAGAACTAGGCCTAGAACTTGTTTTTGTCTGGAATCGTGACCCAGGACGAATGGCAGGGAGTGTGCCCCTTTCTCTGCAGCTCCAGAACCTTGCTGACCTTGGGGAAAGGTCAGTGAACTTACCATGTAGAGTGGAGCTCCCTAAAACTTCTGTTCTGACCTCCCTTAGCTCCTGTGTGATCTCAGGCAAATCCCTTACTCTCTCTGGCCCTTAGTTCACACAAATGTGAAATAGAACAAGCCCATCCATTTCATTTGCCCTCCCAGGCCAGGGTGAAGACTGACAACCCTTCACAGACTCTAGGAAACCTTGGGGAGGGGAAGGCTAATACCTCTCCAAGGCCCTTCCCCAGCTTTCTCCTCTCTCAGGCACCCTGATCTTGTGGTGGAAGTGGCCCATCCCCAAATAATACATGAATGTGGGGCACAAATCCTGCATCATGCCAATCTCCTGGTAAGCCCCAAACTCATACCCAGGCTCTTAGCCCTTTTGTTGTGGCCCCATCACTCACCCTAAAGTGGCAATTCTTCACCACCACCTTTGTCCACCCCAGGTGGGGTCTCCCTCAGCCTTAGCTGACCAGATCACAGAGCGGCAGCTCCTAGAGGCTTCGCACCACTGGGGCCACGCTGTGTTTGTGGCCCGAGGGGCCCTGTGGGGCACTGAGGACATCACCAGGTTGGATGCAGCCGGAGGCCTGCAGGTGAGGGCCCCTAGGGACCAGAGATCCTGCAAAGATCCCGCTCCCCCTAACCCTGGCTCTTACTTCCAGAGCCTTCGTGTCACCATGGCCACACACCCGGATGGCTTTCGGCTGGAGGGACCCCTGGCTGCAGCCCGCAGCATTGGGCCTCGCACTGTGCTCTATGAAGGCCCTGTCCGTGGGCTGTGCCCCTTTGCTCCCCGAAACTCTAACACAATGGCAGCCGCTGCCCTAGCTGCTCCCAACCTAGGCTTCGATCGTGTCATTGGGGTGCTTGTGGCTGATCTCAGGTGAGCAGAGCTGAGCAGGGGGTTGGACTGGGTCCAGGCTAACAAGACTGACTGCCCCTGCTTGCTCCAGCCTCACAGACATGCACGTGGTGGATGTGGAGCTGAGAGGACCCCCAGGCCCCACAGGCCGAAGCTTTGCTGTGCACACCCACAGAGAGAACCCTGCTGAACCAGGCGCTGTCACAGGCTCCGCCACTGTCACAGCCTTCTGGCGCAGCCTCCTGAGTGCGGCCCGGCCCCTCCCCAGTGATAGTGGCCCCTCTCCCGCAGTCCTGGGTTCTTGTACTCTGCAGAGCTTGGGATCTTGAGCTCTATGTGGTTCTGAGGTTCTGCGTCTGTCTTCATTGATCTTTATTTCTGAATCTCCTTAACCTTTTGCTCCACTATATGAATTTTTGTATTGTATATGTCTCTATTTCTGCCCATGTCTCCTCTCCCTGCCTCTCTGTGCACCCCTCTCCTGGGACTCTCTACCTCTACCTATGTGTCTGTCCATCCCCTAGGTCTCTCCCTTTATCGCTCTGGGTCTCTGTCCCTCTTTCCCTGGGTCTTCCTCCATCCCCACAATGGTCTGTCCCCACCCCCATCACTATCTCTCCCTATCCTTCTGTCTCAGTCTTTCCTCCCCCGTCTCTCCCTCGCAGGCTGCTGCCAGCTACCCTCCAGGCCGGGGATCCATCTCTGCTGAGAAGCCTCCTTCCTGAGACGACATCCTCACATGATTTACCTTCCTACCACCACCGCCACCCCACTCCTGTCCTGGCCTCACTGTCCCAGGACCTCCCTTCTATTTCAGTAAAGATCACAGATTCTTCGCCCTGCACGGTCTAGCCTTTCTGGTCCCTGGTTTCCCTCCTGTGACGTCACGCAGCGTTTGCACACAGCGCGTGACGCCATCACAAAAAGCGAGGACACGCGCGAACAAAGCCTCTGAAAGCCCCGCGAGAGCCGGCTCGCCGCGCTTCCCAGAATCCTCCAAGCAGCAAGGGGCGTGTAGGGCGCAAGGGGGCGGACCTTGGAGGCGCATTTCCGGGGGTTGCAGTGGGGACCGACGGGAATCGTAGTCCTGTTTTCTAAAAGCGACAGATGACTTTTGGGCTACGAAGTCCCCTGTCACATATGATGCGAGTGTCCCGCAGAGGCCCTCGGGAGTCGTAGTCCAGGACGCGGGGATCGCCGGGAGCTGTAGTCTGTCCCGCCTGCCCAGTCAGCGCGGTGCTGCCCGTAAGGCACTCGGAGCCAGAGCCGCCGCCCAGGGGGATGCGGAAGCCCCTGGCTCCGGGGAGCGGAGAGGCAGGCGGGGTGAGGGGCGTTGCCACGCAAAGGGCGAGCGCCGTGGTCAGGGTACTGGTCGGGGAAAGGGCTCTGCTACTTGGGTGTCGGGGTGGGGGCCTCGTTGCCAGGTGATAGGAAGAGGGGATCATGTTGCCTAGAGACTGGGGAGGGGGCCCTATTGCCAGGTGACAAGAGGAGAAACCTTGCTGTTTAATGGCAGGAGAAGGGAGTTTTCTGTTGCTAGGAGACCAGAAGAGACCCTGTTACCTAGAGACAGAGGAGGATTCCTTTTGCTAGGTAATCAGAAGAGAGACTGTTACCTAGTGGGGTGGGGGGGGCCCTCTGTTGCTAGGTAACCAGAGATAGATCCTGTTACCTAGGGATAGGGGGGAGGGTTCCTGTTTCTAGGGTGACCATGATAGGGACCCTTTACTTAGAGATGTGGAGGGGGTGATTCTGTGTTGCCAGGTGAGCAGAAAATAGAGCCTTTTACCTAGGAATAGGGGCCAGAGGTATCCCTGTTGCCAGAAGACAGCACAGGGAACAGGGTGCGGAGCCCCGTGTCCTCCCAAACTTCTCCAAGCCCCCACCTCAGTGGCAGTACCTCCAAGTCCTGCTGGGAGGTTGGACCTCAGACTCTGGGCCTCCAGATCCTGGACCCCTGTGTACTTTCTCCCCCTCCCAACTCCCAGCAGGAGCCAAGGACGGCATGTCCCAGGCCCCAGGAGTACAGCCGAACCAGCAGTCCTCTGTGTACCACGAACGGCAACGCCTGGAGCTTTGTGCCGTCCACGCCCTCAACAACGTTCTGCAGCAGCAGCTCTTTAACCAGGAAGCTGCTGATGAGATCTGCAAGAGGTGACTGTCACCCACCTTAATTCCCTGGAGCAGCAGGGCTCAGGTGGAGCAACCCACCTGGGTCTCACAGAGAGTCAGGGGCTGAGTCTGGGGGGCCTCTTTCTGCCTGTTCACTGCCTGTACTAGATTCTGGGCTCAGACTGAGATGTTGCACCCTCCACCTGCCTGTCCTGCAGCCTCAGCCCCAGCCAAGGCTTCTCCCTCTCTTATCTGGGCCTTCCAGCTGCTGATATTTCTCCTCTGGTCCATCCTACACATGGCCCCCGAGCCAACCCTGACCTATCCCCAGCCTCTCCATCTGATATCAACAGCCCTGTGAGCCTGGCTTCTGCCACTCACTGCTCCCCTCACACCAGACCTGTCTGTCTGTCCCCAGATGAGCGCCACTATGAGGCCTATAGGGCTCTTCTTTCTTTGGGCATAATGTGCTCCTCTTGGCAGCCTGGAATATGCTGCCTCAGTATTCCAGATTTCAAATGTCTCTTCTTTATAATCTCTCTGCCTCTCCCTCTTTTCTGGCCTCACAGCCCTGGCCTAAGCCTAGGCCCATTATTCCTTGCCTGGACCTCCTTCTCAGCCTCCCACATCCAGAGATAACCTATCTCCCTCCCCTTGGCCCTCGGCCTTCTCAGACAGAGGTCAGCCCTTCAGAGTGATCACTATGGGATTTATTCATCTCTGTCACTCACAAGGATCTGGCAAGTCTTTCACCCCAAGGATGTGTTGGAGACCCAGAGATGAATCCCCTGTCCTTGGGGAGGAGAGGGAAACAGATATACAGGAAAGTAATACACATGTTCTTCCCTTCTCCTGCCCTGCCTTCCAGAGCCCCAGATGGGGACAGAGGTACAGTTGCTTTGAGGAAGCAGGGCCCAGAGAGGCAAGTGGTGACAGATGGGCCTCCTGGGCTTGGGGAAGAAGCACAGGAGACATGGCTGGGGACAGGTAGCCAGAAAGAGGCACTGAGGCTCAGAGGCCAGCAGGGTCTCATGGGACTCTATCCTGGGGGTGATGGGGTGCCAGGGAGGGCTGTGAGGAGGAGAGGATGGTAAACCCTGTGATGTTAAAACAGGGTGATAGAGGCAGGCAGTCATTATCACTGAGATGGCTCCTGTGCCCTGGGGTAGACCAGAGAGGGCCCCAGACCCAGCCTGTGGCTAAGGAGACTTTTCTTAGAGGACATGACATCTGAAGTGGGTCTTCAAGGACAGAGGAAGGGATTGGTCATGACAAGAAAGACCAAGGCATGGGGACTTTGTCCAGGGGCAGCACTGGGGAGCTGTTGGGGTTTGAGGGGACAGCTGGGCCTGGGTTGAAGGTGGGCTGGAAGGAGAGGCTGGAGGGTGCAAAAAGACAAAGCCAGAGCTGGGGCCTTAGGGACAGCTGTTGGGTTGAAGAGGGAGAGTCAAAGGCAAGACCCTGGCACCCTCTGCTTTGTAGGAAGGGCAAGGCCTTTCTAAGGGTCCCCTACTAAGGCTCTGGCCACCCCCCACCAGGTTGGCCCCAGACTCCCGGCTGAACCCCCATCGCAGCCTCCTGGGCACTGGCAACTATGATGTCAATGTGATCATGGCCGCCCTGCAGGGCCTGGGCCTGGCCGCCGTGTGGTGGGACAGGAGGAGGTAGGCCGCAGAGCACCGGTCACATGCTGGGCTTCAAGAAGGCTGGCATCCTGATGGCCAGCAGGTGGGGTGGCTGGGTGACCAGGTGGGATGGGGCACACTGACAGATGGAGGCAGGTAGCTGGATGAATGAGTGCAGCCAGAAGGAGGTTGGACACTTTGGGCGAGGGCATGTGAATGGGTTGAAGCAGGTGAAAGATGGACAGATGGTGGGCAGGGTACAGCAAACAGGTGGAGAGTGCTATATGGAGGGAGGGAGGTTGTGACGATGGCTGGTGGGTAAGGGCTGGACAGATGGGAGAGAGGTGGAGTGGCAGTGGGCAAGTTGCTGTGTGGCGAATGGGTGAACAATCAGTGGGTAGCTGGCAAGTGGTTTCAAGGTGGCTGGCAGGATCGTGGCTGGTGCTGGGAGGTTGGGGACCTGGCTAGATGATGGGGAGGCCTGTGGCTGGTTGAAGAGCTGGTGAGGTATTAGGTAGGGGCTGGGCAGACGGGTTAGCAGTGAAGGGCAATGAGGGTCAGATGGGTGGACAGAGCAGTCGGGGAAGGAAGAGACTCGGCAGGTTAGGAACCTCCCTGGACGGGCTCAGCCTGGTCCTCATACTTGGGAACATCCCAAGCAGAGCAGGCCCTGACCAGGGGCCCCACTGTCACTCCCACTACAGGCCCCTGTCCCAGCTGGCCCTGCCCCAGGTGCTGGGGCTGATCCTGAACCTGCCCTCACCTGTGTCACTTGGATTGCTGTCCCTGCCTCTGCGCCGGCGGCACTGGGTAGCCCTGCGCCAAGTGAATGGTGTCTACTACAACCTGGACTCCAAGCTACGGGTGCCTGAGACCCTGGGGGATGAGGATGGTGTCAGGTGAGCCAGAGAGAGGCAGCTCTGAGGCCAAGCTCCATATAGGAGCTCCACTCTCCAGAAGGCACAACGCTGGCTGGGCCTCAGTCTCTCATCTCTCCTGCCCAGGGCCTTCCTGGAGGCTGCCCTGGCCCAGGGCCTGTGTGAGGTGCTGCTGGTGGTGACCAAGGAAGTGGAAGAGAAGGGCTGCTGGCTGCAGGCAGGCTGATCCCATGGCTGACTCTTGCTACCACCCATTGTGGTCCCTGTGTGACCACATCCACTTGAGTGCCAGGGAAGGGGCTGCACTCTGTGGACCCTAAGGAGGCTCCAACCCCTCCCCTACCCCTACGCGCCACTGCCGCTACTGCCTCAATAAATCTGCTGATTTGTTCCCCGCCTGGCCTGAGTAACTGGCCCAGCCTTTGCTGGATCCCTTTGGTTCAGTTATTCCCATTTATCCTGAGTGCCCAGGAACCAGCCCACCCCAGTTCCGATCTGGCTCCCTGCCACCTCCTGCCAGTTGGCTTACCTCTCTGGGCCCCAGTTTCCTCACCTGAGCCCAGCAGAAAACAACACAAGTCCCTGCCCACGTGAGGCTTGTGTTCCACACAGGGAGAAAGACCAGGGACAAACAATTTGGCACAATGACCCAGCATGTCCATTGTGGTGAGTGCCGGGCATGAAGCAGGAGTTTACGTCTTGGCTCTATTCTCTTCCATTGATTGGGAGGTGGCAGAACAATGGCCCCAGAGATGCCCACATCCTAATCCCAGGACCTGTGAATACTTTAGGTTACTCAGCCAAGGGGAAGTGAGGTTGCAGGTTGAATTAAGGCTGCTGGTCGGCTGACCTGAGACAGGTCCAAGGGCCCCAGTGTGATCACAAGGGTCCCTAAAGTGGGAAACAGAGGGGACCTATTGTGGATTTAGGGAATGAATGTGGGTTTGAAACCACAACATTTGTGGTAATAAGTTAACGGCAGCCATTGGAGATGAACACAGGGTTATTGCAAGTGACTTGGGGTACTGGGCCCCACTGAGGTGTCCTTTGAACAAAGAAGGTGAGGGGGAGCCACAGGGAACAAGTTTTCTAGGTAGAGGGCAGCCTCGCAATGGAGGTGGGTGGGTGGCAATCAACAGTCAAGGAAGGAGGGAGGGCACAGCTGGGCAATGGAGCCTGCTGGGAGGGCCACAGTAAGGATTTGGCTTTGCCTCTAGCTGAGACAAAGCCCTGGGGGGTTGTGAGCAGAGAGAGGGCTGACTTTGACTGGGTGTCTCCACTTTACATTCTCACAGGGCTAGGCTCACCCTCAGGCCTCCTGCTCTGTGTCCTTGGTCCTTTGCTTCATCTGAGTCCTTTTGGGCCTGGTCCATGCTGATGGATGCCCAGGGGTTGAGCAGTTGGCCCACCCTCCTGGCCCCCAAGTTGGGGGAAGACACAAGAGGATGGGAAGACACAAGAGGACGGCAAGACTCCCCCAAGTCCCATAAGGCACTGCAGGGGCCAGAGGATGGTGAAGGGACCCAGAGGCAGGCAGGTTAGGTGAAGAGACCCAGGGATAAGACTAGCCATAAAAGCTCTCCAGAGGGCTTGGGGGGGCAGAGTTTTACAAAACTGGAAATCACTCTGCATGAGGCCTGGAACCTTCTCAGTAATTACCTGACGAGGTGAGGAAAGACCAGGATGGATTCCAGCCAGGACCTCTGAGGGCATACTGGGTGTAGAAGACCCCTTTGGAGCTGTAGGGACAGAGTGCAGGGGAGACCAGAGAAGGCTGGGGGGATAGCCCAGAGGAGAGAGGAGGTGGCTTAAGCCAGCACTCCAAGGCAGGCAAGTGACAAAGAGAGTTGGGGGGACTGTCTGAGCCTGGTGGGTCCTGGGGGATGAGCAAGTGGAAAAAGTGAAGCAGGTACCCAGGGCCTGGCCATATCTGGGGACCCCAATTAGATACAGGGCAGAAGTGAGGGACTCAGAGGCACAGGACGGACCCTGCTTGGGGCATGTCTTCTCACTCAGCCCTGAGCAACATCCCCTCTGGCAGCATTCACCTCAGGACCACAGGAATGACACCCCAAGCAGGACCGGGAGCAGACACTGCCACCGCAGGACAGGATGCCCTCATAAAAGCCCTAGTGATACAGGGACTTGGGCATGGTGCATTCTGGTTTCCGAGCTTTCCTGAAGTCAAAGAATGGTTATAAAGTGAAAAGCCAAACAGCACAGAAGGGGAAAACTGTTGAACTGTCAGATGTGTGGACACCCTGATTGTCAGGGTGGCCCTCACCCAACCCCATGCACCTCCTTCCACCCAGCAGTCCTTCCTCCAGGCCTTCCCAGGATCTGTCCCACTCTCTGCCCCCAGCCTGGATGTCTGGACCTGTCCTCACTAGGTATCCTTCAGCCTCTTTCTCACTCTGTCACTCTTTCTGATGTCCTCCTGCCTCTCTCAATCCCTGTCTCTCTCTCTCTCTGCCTTCCTGCCTCTCATCTCCCACTGTCTCTTTCTGTCTCTCTCAGCCTTTAACTCTGGCCTGTTTTATCTTCCTATATGTCTCTGTCTGTCCTCAACTCTCTGTCTCTTCTCCCCGTATCTCTGTGTCCCCATCATCCTCTGTGCTTATCGCCTGTCCCAGACAGCCTGGCGGCCTCCCTGAGTGTTTCCATTCTTGGCCTAAGTGGCAGGCCAGGCAGTGGCCTCCCAGGTGCATCCTCAGCTGTGGCCAAATAAGGTCTGAGTGAGGGGCATGGGAGTGGGACCCAGGGACAGCTGCTTCTACCCCACGCATTAACCCTTCTCACTCTGCACAGGTGACCTGGCCTTCAGCCTTTGCACTCATTGAGCACTTACTGTTCGCCTTTTATAGTGCTCCCCACTGCCTGGGGCCCCCACATCTCAGGGGGTTTCCTTGGGATTGCCCTATGGTGCCCAGGCAGTTACAGAACTGGTAGGACTTCTGGGGGTCCCAGCTGCCTCTTGAGGGTGCCCCATAAAGACCTCCAGGGGCCTCAGCACCACCAGGCTACAGAAGGGGAGGAGGAGAGGCTGTGGTCACATGGCAGGTGCTGGGCAGGTGGGGGAAGGGGTGACAGCTGTCCCCCACCCCCACCCTCCTGCTGACAGCTGAGGCCCAATTTAGCTCACAGAGTGTGGGTATGGCCAGATAAGGCAATGGGGAGAATGGTCCCGCCCCTAGGGCACCCCTTAAATTATGCTGTCGGTCTCAGGGGGCAGCCGACACAGATGCCAGGTGAGAGGGGCTGTTCTTTCCTCAACCTCCCCTCAGTGGTTCTAGCTGAGTCTCATCTCTTTCTCTCCCTCCTCCACCTGTATGTCTCTCTCTCTTTGTAGTGGGGAGGAGGGTGGCAAAAGACAGAAACTTTCTGATTCTCTGCTGTCTCTGTCCTTCCCTCTTTGTCTCCCCATCATCTCTCTGTTCTCTCCCTCCTTCTCTTCCACTGTCTCTCTTCTCCCTTCCTTTCTCTCTCTCCTTCTCCCTCCCTCTCTCCATTTCCTCATCTCTCCCTGACCTTCTCTGTCTCTTTTGTCTGTCTGCCCACCTCTCCCTCTGTTCCTGCCTCCTGCCCCCAGCTCTCCCAGTCTTTCTTCTCCCCATCCCCTCTCAGCTATCAGTCTCCCTCAGTCCCTCTGTTTCTCTCTTTCTCTGTGTCTCCTCCCCCAAAGCCCCCCCCATCCCCATCTCCCTCTTTCTCTTTCTGTGTTTCTCCTGCTGTCTCCCTCTCTCTATCTCTGTCCCTGTCCCTCCTACTCCTCCTCTCTCCTCAGCTCCCTGACAGAGCCCTGCCTGGCCTCTGCTGCATCCGGCTGAATAAAGCTGACTCTGTTCTCACCTCTATCCCTCCTGAGCCTCCTTCTTTCCTTCCTCATTCCTCTGCCTCTGAGCTCAGAACCCATCCTGGGTCAAGAGGGGTGGGACCCCTGGGTGGGTAGGGGTCCTCCCTCCCAGACATAGCAAGAGACAGGCGGAGAGACAGAGAGATGGGTGCACAAGAACCAGGCACAGGGATGAGAAAGACAAGACAGACGAAGAAAGGGCTATGAGACAGCAGGATAAAGACAAGGCAGGGCCACCAACACAGAAATGAGAGAGACACGAGACAGTAGGTCACAGAGACACTGACAGCCAGAGACTCTGAGGCCAAAAGACAGGGAACACAGTCAGTGCTGTCCACTCCCACGCCCACAGGGGACAAGGGCTAGGCCAGCCACTGGACAACAAGCCCTTGTCCCCTTGTCACACTCTACAGGCAGCTGGGATGGCCTGTGGGCCGTGCTGTTGGGGAGGGGCACCGGGAGGCTTGGCCCACTGCCCCCACCCCAGACTCCACCCTCTTTCTGGCCTCTGCTCAGGATCTCTGCCCGCTCCCCACCTACTTTCTGCTCTGCCAGGGGAAGGGGACAGGCATTTTTGGAGCACTTGCTATGTGCACCTGAAATGTATCTCCTCTCCTCTCTTCACACCCTTCTGCCTAGCCTGTCCCTTCCTCTGTACCCTCTGCTGGTTCTTTCTGTGCTTCCAGCTCCTTCCATGGAGGAAATGGGCATTAATTAAGTACCTAATGTTTGGCAGGCATTTTCCATACACTGCCTCTGCGCCTTCTACCCTTTCTGTTTTACTGTCCCTTCCACCCTGATTCCTTTCTCTTTCTGATTTGCATAGTCTCTCTTAGGAAGAAAATGGGTATCTATTGAACACCTACTGTATGCCAAGGAATTTACAATGTCTCCTCTCTTACCACACTCCCCTCACACCATAACTTCCTTTCTTTTTTCTCTATTGGTTTCCTCTCCCTTCTGACCTTCTGCTGTCTCTAGGGGAGGGAACGGACATATTTTGAGCACCTACTATATACCAGGCACTTTCCATACTTCTCTTCTTGCCTCACAGCCTATGCCTCCCCTGACCCTGCTAGGTCCTTTCCTTGTCTTTCTGGGCTCTCTGCCTTCTTCCAAAGCCAGGAACACACTGAGCATTTCTGGGATGCCAGGGAATCGTGTCCTCTCTCTTGCTCTCCAGTCCCCACTGACCTATGGTCTCTGCTGGCCTCTGCTTCTTTCTGTTCTCCTCCAGGGAAGGAAATGGACATTCATTAAGCATCTACTATATGTCTATTCCTACCCCCCCCCACTTTGCTTCTCCTTGTTCCCTCATCCCTAATTTATCCTGTCTGCTCCATCTGCTCTTTCTTGAGGAAGAAAATGAGCAATTATGGAGCATCTACCTTATAGCAGGCAGTTAACACCTCACCTCATCTCCTCTGGCCTCTTTCTCTCTGCCTCTCTTGCTCTGCCAGTTTGTCCCTCCCTCTGTTCTCTGGAAAAGAGCACAGGCGTCTGCTGAGCACCTCCATGGGCTCACACCTTGTGTGCCCTGC